CACAAAACTGTAGTTTTGTACACAAATGACACATAACTCTATAGGCTAATATTATTATGCATGTTTTAGGTCTAAAATAAGTCTTGTAATAATTTCCTATGTTGAGCATTTGCATACTATTGGCCCAGATACTATTTAGTGAAGATGTGTGTCTAATAATTTTTTATCATTTTAAATTGTATTGTAGCACCGGCGGGGCGCATGTCCCAGCATGCCCCGCATGCAAGTTGTAAATAGCCATTGTATTGTTGTTGTTATTGTTAATGGTTATATTCCTTATTGTCGCGCGTGTGTTTGCCCGTGTCTTGCGTGTACCCTGTCTGATCCTCGTGTGTAATTAGCTTCCGTGAATCTCCCACCATGTGTGTATCTTAGAGTTCAGCATCAGACAACCCTGTGTTTCTCATGCGTAATCGTTTCGGTGCTCGTTGGCTGCTTGATGTAGTCTTTTTTCAGGACTAGCAATAAAGAGCGGCAAGCAAGTTCCCTGTAGTCCACTGATCAAAGCACACTCCACCAGATGTGCCTGTCTTGTCTAGTTTTAAAGTTACTAACCCATTCATGTATTGTCCCATTGCACCCCAGTCAGCACAAGTACGTCGGCGCTACGTCTCTGATACGTTTTTTGAAAGGTTGATATCTACAGTAGTAGCATTTCAGGTGTTTGCACATTGGCACTACGTAGCGACGTAGAAACAGCTCCTCATTTGGACTAGACATCAGCGGGTTTCGTAATGCAGACTCTAAAAAAACAGAACAGACACAATTCACTTACATTAGACCTTATTAAATGGTAAATGTCAATCATGAACAGGTGAGTTTATTGTTGTTCCTTTACCTTGTGATTGTTACCTTTTTATCTGCAGTCTGAAAAAAAGCAACTTTGGCCATTAAAACCAATGAAAATTATGGGAAAGAATTATGTAACGTGCATGGGGAGGTTAAATCCATAATGTGTTTAGACCTTTAGGATAAAAACTTTATACTGAAAGGTCAAATTTTACTTTTGCTTAAACATTGGTTTACTTACGGATAATCACATCTATGATGTTTGTATTCCTCATCGGTGTTTTGTCCCCTTTGCCACACCAGTTAAAATGAACTGCCAACTGGGGAGCAAACACCTTTCCACAGATTCTCCAGACTGTTTTCTTTAGTGTTTGACCCCAGCCAGTGACAGTTTCGAAACCTGGAGGTGACAACAGATGTTTGGTCATACAAAATTTATTACATAGTTTTGGGTATAGTGTGTGTATGTATAATTATAATATAATATAAGTATATATTATATTTCTTAGGACCCATGTATTAGCTATGTACAGTGGTACCTCAGAACTCAAACATAATCCGTTCAGAACTCCAGATCGAATCCTAAAAAGTTCGAGTTCTGATCGAATTTT